AGGCACATATCCTATTATTATCCTCATTTTATAGATGTGGAAACTGAGGCTTGGGTTTATAAATGACTAAGCATACACAATTGGCAAGATCTGAATCAGAATGTTTAATTCCAGAGACTGAGTTTGTTGCTACCATGTTACACACAGTGTCGTATTAGTTTTTCTCCATAGACATTTTACCATAAGAATAACAAAAGATTTACAGAAGGTGGGTGGTCTCTAAAGTTTTAACACAGATATGCATAGCAAATCAGCACTGCATCTATTCTAGTTTTATATTTACTTTAGGTTCTTAGATCCTAGAAGAATTTTTTTTAAGCTAAGGTGTACCTGTGACAATGATTCAACACATTTGATTTTGTGTGGTAAGAATCTAAATATTTTTAGAAGCTAGAACAACAAAAATGGGTTTTCCAGTTTTTTAAAAAAAAGTAGATTTGGGCAACAACAATAGTTCTTTCAATGAATACATGAACTTAGAAATGCTTATAAGCATTATTCTTGAGATTTTTCCTATGAAATGTGGATCATGACTCAAGTTTTCCTCGGGTAGCTAGGAGAGCAGAGTTACATATTGGGTGTGAGAGCAATTTGAAAACTGCAAAGTAGGCTTCAAATGAAAAGTTGACTGTTTCAGCAATAAAGTAGTATTAATTAATACATATTTGTTCTTGCAGTAATTTCATTTTACCAAGCGATTTCAGTTATCTATATTGATACCTAAACTCTCCTTTTGCCTTAGAAATGTCACCTCCTCCAAAGTCTTGCTCCTCCGTGCACTGAGCCTGTGTTGTTCCTACTTTGCTTACAGGTTTATTTTTCAGTGTATGATTGCTCCTCTCAGTAGATTGTRTGTCCTTAGAGTTACTTTCTATTAAACTTTATATCTCTCTAGAGAGCTCACTACATTGACACATAATAACCAACACTGAAAGAATATAATGCAAGAAGATATAAATAATGTCTCCCATATTTTTGTTCTCATATTTTATCCAAGTATGGTTTGCTGGTATAGAAGCCATTTGGATTGCTGAATAAACATATTAATAATCTAATATTTAGAACAACCACTACATAGTATTGCCAGACTAAAATAAATTATGTGTTTACATGTGCAAATCTGTAGTGAAACAGATACCTCTCTAATAAGAACATAAGGAAAGCAATGGGAATAATTTTCATTTATGATTTGTAAAACCAATCTTCTTATTTTAAAATTTTACCTTGTAAATTAAGAAAATTTCTGTATTGTTGTGCTTACAGCTTTAATGATAAATGATAGATAAAAAATAGCTATTTTTTCACTTAAAGTGGTTTTGTAAACAGAATTGTTTTTCTGGAAGATGTACTATAAAYAGGTCACAGTGAACACATTGAAGGTCCACTCTTAAAGAACATGGTYAGAAAATGTGATCTATGCCTAATAACAGAAAGAAGGCAATACAAATGGCTTTCCAAAGGCAATGAATTTGAACAGGGAATTTCTAATATTAAACTAGTATTTATGAAATAGATGAGATAGCTTAAGAGTAGAATTCTTATGCATATAAGACCTTTCTACAAGCTTGTGGATTTATCATCAAACAAATATTTACATTTCTTATTATGTTCTTATCTTCAAAAATTGAAAATAAATTATTTAGAAATTCTCCTGCCTGAAAGTGCTACTGCATCTAAATTTATCTAAACTGACAAATGATAAAAATTAAGAAATGCTAAGAAGTCTGCAAAGGGTATATAATTATATAGAATCACACAAACATAATCTGTATGTGAAACATTAATAWAAAGTATTAAAATTCTTCATTAGGAAATGGAGTTCAGAAATTCCAATTTCTAAGCTCTTCATACCTCATTGGACAGTTTATAATCTTTATGCCTGGAAAAAATTTAATTCTTTTATACAGTGTAACTTTTCATCTTATTTTGTAATGTAATTTCCTTGATCAATGTCATTACCAAGCTAATGACTAGTAGGTTCAAATTTTATTATATACTTTATATCAATGTGTTCATCCTGTGTTACAGAGAGGTGAAATGAGTCAGTATGACAGTTATATTGCTTAAACATAGCATTTCACAATACTGATAAAATTATTTTGCATGTGTCACCTCAGAGGAGAGTAAAGAGAAAACTCTAAATTACAACAGAACTTGGACTCTGCCTATATCCTCTCTTAACTTTGAATGAGGTGTACACCACTCTGAAGAGAAACTATTACCTTAGTGTGATGACAACAGTATGGGTAATTATGAAGTACTCAGGTCAAGCTCCCAATTCTGGCATTACTGAATACATGTAAATGGTATTTATATATATATATATATATATATTGTTGTTGTTTACAATCATAGAGAATATTCTTCACACTCAGTAATTAACATGACCCAGCAGATACTAAGTGGCTAAACTTGAGGCAGTGGACATTACAGTATTAGTCATCATGTAAATGGCTGGTCCACAGTGAATAGTGGAGATGATCTAGATGTTATGCTTGTACCCCAGGGTTTGGGGTTTTTCCGACAACACAAGATGTGACTTCAGAGTTTAAGGACATGTGCCTCCCCCCCCAACCCCACTCCCCACCCCTGTAGAACCATCATATTTGATGATCCATTAAAGATTTATCATTGATCACTATTTAGTCTTAGCAAACTGGGAAATATTTCCAACCTAAACTAATTATTTGGATTATAGTTTTCATTTTTTTTATAAACATCTGTGCAAAATATGCAATATGCATGAGAAGAAAACTAGACTGAATTCTTTCCTGGTAAAGAATGGGGAGAGTTTATATAAATATGTATATGTGTGTATAAATAAATATGTATATATACAAACATGCATATGCATACACAATCATATAGATGTATTTATCTTTTTAAGCTATACTACCTTTTACATAAACTTTCCTTAATTTTGCAGTTAGTTGTTTGTGTCTCACACATTTTTCATAGAATTTTCTAAAAGACTCCCACTATTAACTTGGTATGTGATTGTTCATCTTAAAGTGGTCTCAAAGCTATGATAAGCTATTACCAATATTATCAATATTCCAAAAATAYTTACTAAATTCCTACATTTAATAATATCTCACTGGTAACTCAGAATTATCAGACCTCCAGTTGTAATATTTTACTTTTGCTAACTAAAACAGCCAATTTATTGCCCATGTTCTATAAAAATAATATTTAAGGAACTTTAACAAACAGTCCCCAAATCAATCTCTGGGAAATTCTGTTCTTTATAAAGCTTCATTCAGAAAGGGGTTTAGACAAATACATTATGTAAATAAATACACTAGACAGAAAAACCTTCATGGTAAAGACCTTTACCCTCTGTTCCACTTGTACATTCCAATACTCCAAAGCAAAGTTGTTCATGTATGCTGTTAATAAATCTTTATTAGTGAAATGTGGTGGACATCATTATCCAAAGTACATGTATGAAGACATGCATTGGGTGTCAACATACTTTATATACAAACAGAGATATTAAAAATTGTGGTATATATGTGTAATAAGAACTGTAATGCAAAAGAACAAAAAACAAAGTACATGTATAAAGACATGAATTGGCGTGAACATACTTTATATACAAATATATGAAAAAYTGTGCTCTAGATGTATAATAAGAATTGTAATGCATTCTGCTGTGGTGTATTTAAAAAATCAATTAATTAAAAAAATGAAGAAAAAATAAAAATAAAAAATAAAAATAAGTCCTTATTTGCTGTATGAACAGTTAATAAAACCAAARTTCTTGAAAAATAAATCTAAGGCTACATTAATTGGCAGGATTCATAAAAGCAAGAGATTTTTCTACATTCTCTTAATTTTTATTCATATAACTGAAAAAACTTAGTTCCTCAGAAACACATGGTAGAATTTCAAGTCAGAAGTAGTATTAGTAGTAGTACAATATTTCTAACCAGAGTTAAGGCAAATATCATACAAATCCAAAGGAACTTATGGCTCAAAAACCTTCTTTTCTAATATTTAAATAAAYAACATTTCTCTGTTTTTTTGTCAAGGTCAGAAATTCCAACTGCAGTACAAATGGAAAAATATCAAAGATAACTCTGGGTCACTCTACTTTTATGGAAGGGGATTTCTTCTGACTCTTGATGGCAACAGTAACTATTTACTACACTGTACACAGTCTCAGGGAGTTCCTAACATACTGTACTGGTGTCTGATATCAGGGAGTCCTCAGTGTTCAGCAGAAAGGTSGACATGAATCTGCATTCTCAAATACGGTTTTTATCTACACAGTCTTGGAATGCAGCTAACTCAGTCACCAGCATATTTTTCTTCTTCTAATTTTTCTTGMAATATGTTAGTTTTAAAATTTCTGTTTCATACAAATGCAAAATAGAATATAGTTTCATGCTGCTTTACCACATTTGTGCAATGTGTTTAATGCGTGAACTTGTACAAAACTGTCCTCATCATCAACACTTACCTGTGTATAAATGAAGTATGTAGGAAATAAGCTCTACAAAATATTCAAACCATTATCTCTAATCTAGCAACTACAGATCATAGAATTTCTGCCACACCATTTATTTCATATATATACATCTCTTTTCCCAGTTTGAGTTCACATTTAAATGATCATTATTATAGTTAGGGTGCACAATTAAGTTAGTGGGTCACTGGTCAGAACTAAGGAAATAAATAAAGGTTATAGAAAATCAGCTGGGCAAAAAAATATTTTTTTTAAGTAAAATATTTTTTTATTTTTCATTAAGTAAATGTGTTTACCTTTCATTTAATATGAAAAGGCTTTATGGAAATTGAGTTTTTATTTTATTTTTCATCTGTTGACTATAACCCACTGTGCTACAAACTCTCACATGCATGGATGAAAGTATTTGGAACTGATTTATAAGCAACAGTGATTAATGATAAGAGAGGAGAGAAAGAAATTTTAGTTAGGAGAAAACATGAAAAGGAAGACAGAGGCTTTCAAAAACACTTAAAGAACAATCACCTACCAGTTCTACTCGTCCGAAACCTCCAACTCCAAGGGTATCAATAATGTTGAAATCAGACAGCTTCAGGTTGGCGAAGAAAGCAGCTTCGGCTTCGTATCTGGATTTTTTGATGCGAAAAAATGGAAATTTCTTAGAGGTGCAAACACGGGTGCCACGTACAACTGTACTGGAATGATATGACTGCGGAACAGGGTTTACCTGCTTGAATTCCATCTTGCTTTTAGAGTCTGTGTTTTCTCACACTCATAAATTTTTGGTCCCCATTATGCAGAATAACATAGAWTTGCACTTGTTTTTCAAAGTAGAAAAATACAAAGTACCCACTGCATGAGAGTCACGTGACTGATAAATCCAGTTATCAAATCAAAGTTACATCTTGGTATTTTTCTCCGTGTCTTCTTGTGAGCACGGATTGTTTGAGTTGCTCTTTTTTGGCTTTGTTTTGGATTTTTTGGTTTTGCTTCCTTTTGTTTTTGCCGTTCAGAGTTTGGATGCCAGTTTCTCATTAGTTTCCCTTATCCACAGGCTGGCAGTGCCTTCTATAAATATTTATTAAAAGCGGCAAGATCGTGGAGGTCTCTGGAGCAAAATCACAGCCAGGTTTTATGAAAACAGATCCAAAAAGCTGAGGACTGATGTGCAAATGTCTGAAATGGATGATTTCAGGAGCATATTCACATCCCTAAAGTGTCTTGCCTTCTCTTATGTTTACCCACTGACTCAAAGCCAGCACTCTCAGCCTGCAATCCCAGTGTCTATGTTTGCAAGTTTCTTATATGAGTGGTGAGAAGCATGGACTAGGAGTCCAACAGACTGACTATGCACACATGCAGATCTGACACATGCAAGTGGCCAAAATAGGCTTCTCCTGATGAGACGGGTGAATATGAGCTGCTTAAAATATCCTCTTGTTAAAGGCCCTACTATATTTAGAAAGGGCAGGAAGGCATAAAGATGAAGATGATCTGCCCACTCACTAAAGTCAGGTCAGGGAGTAATTCAGCTGTCTCAAAACATAAGTGTTTGAAGAGCTATGCATAACCCATGACCTCCAGCCCAAGAATATGTGCTCAGTACTTTACTATACATAGACATGATGAATTTACTTGAGGTCACACTACTAACACAGCTTGTGCGTGTCAATTTTTGAATGGAATCAGCCGCAAGCACATTTGGTGTTAAGTTATGTGACATTTTAGCTACTCCATTACAATCAATCACAAACTTTGACTCTCTGCTAAGGAGACATGTGAAACATTTTGGTAAGTGAGCTTTCTGAGAGAGCTTTCTGCTTTCTTCAATTTATAACCACAGTAGTAGATTTTTAACAAGTCAACTGTTGACAGACTCCTCAGAGGGTAAGAAAAACATAATGTGTTTCATTATTGGTTTATGTGAAAACAATACCCTTTAATAAACCTCTATAAACAAAGGGAGTCAATCCTAAAGTKATCTGCAGACTTCTCTCWCTAACTACACAATCAAGAGATCAACACAGCAATTCAGGAGCTGGTTTATAGAATGGAACATAAGCAGCAAATGTGCATGTCTGACATTCCAATTGGCTGGCTCATGGCTTTTGGAAAATTAAACTCCATCCCCTCTAAAAGTCCGGTGGCAGAGTTGACTCCAACAGGTGCTTGAAAAGGACATCTGTTGGGATCAGACCCCATGACAGTTTATATGTGGTCAAGTATTTCCTGGTGCTTTAGAGAAGAAGATCCTTAGTGACATCATTGTTTTATTTGATTAGTATTTTTTAAAAAATATTGAGCTTCTAGAATATTTTAAAACTTTCATGTTCAAGCTATTTTTTAATAATATCAGTATCACAAAACAAACAAAAAGCAGGCCTGAAGGGAAGTCCTTAACAAAATGAATTAGGTACACAACAGCTGGATTCTATCTATGCATCTAGTTGTTGAAATTAAGACATCAATTGCTGGTTAACAAATAACTGTATTCATTAAAATATTATTTTGGAGTTTACTTTAAAAAAGCACAGAGTCTTCATTTAAGACTTTACTAAAAATGTTTTGTCTTTATTTATGCAACAACTGTATGCATTCACAATGAGGTTGTTCTTGAATAGTTATGTGCTTGCTGGAATTAGAAATCTCAGGTGCACAGAGATCAAACCCTTTCAGACTCTGTTGATTACCATTTTATATATTTAAAGTATGATGTTATTACTTATAGCCCTTGAGTATACTGCCAAAGTTCTTGTATTTGGGCTTGTGAAAATAGGCTGGAAGGACAGCTACGTGAGTGGAGTGATTCCCAGCCTTTCTCTTGCATCAGAGATACCTGAGTTCTTTAAAACACTTAATTTGAGCCTGATCACAGTCCAAGTGAATCAGCATTTCCTGGAAGTGGTACCCAAACATCTGTATTTTTAAAGAACTCTTGGGTGATTCTGCTGTGCAGAAAGGATTGAGAACCATTATTCCAAATCTTCCGAAAGCAAGTTCCAAATAACATCCAAGAATTTTGAGGAGGAATAAAGTGGGCCTGAGAGATAAGGAGATGCCCAATGTGTTTGTGGGTGATAGATTCTGGCAGGAGAGTTTGAATCTCTCATTTAACTGGTCTTGGTCCCTAGGTTTCTGCTCCTAGAACCAGAGGAATTAATAGTTCTATAATGGCTAACAGCTAAAAATAAAATAAAACATTGCTTTTAAAAAGGCAGATATAAGGTGCAAAAACTATAAGGTAATTATTTTATTTTTGCATTTCTATGCCAGGTTATCTTAACTTTATACTTAGTATCTGGTTATTTATTAATGGTATTTTAACTGATGGAATGGACATAATAAAGTTCATCCTAAAGAGTAAATACTTTCTCTTTAGCCATAAAAAATCACTTAGCTATGTACTTCCCTACACACTAGAATTAATGATTGTGGTTAAATATTTTATATGTCTTAAGAGACTGACAAAATTATAATTTGTTAATGACTTTGTTAGTATTATTTAGGTGAATTTTTAAAATACCTCTTGGTGGAATGATATTATCTTGTTATTGCCAAGTCTCATTTTAAAGGGACCTTAAGATAACTGTGATCCTCCATTCTGTTGCTGTTCATTTCTTGGGGAAATCAAATGGCAAAGAGTTGTGACCATGACAGCTTTCTAATCCAACCAAGGAAATGTTAATCACTTAATGTTTTATATTCTCTTATTTTTCCTTCTCATTTAGATTACATTTTAAGGCTAAGAGCCACATCTTCATCACAGAGACTTTGTACACTTTGATTTTTTGAATTAATAACTCTTTTAACATGAAGATGAGTGTATGATATGACTTCATAAAGAGGCCAACCTGTGAATTATTTAGATCCAACAGGTATTTAAACTTATTTTTTTCTTGCTCATAACTGGGAAGGACATTTTAATTTTTCCCTTTCCTTGTATAGTTACCTGAAGAGAAGTTTATTCCACCAACAATGTTCAATTTTCTTTAGAGAAGAAGAAAGTTTGAGGAAGAGAATTAACTAAATGCTTAAGTAAATGGTTGTCAATGTCTAAAGGAGGTAAGTGTGCAACCTGAGTTCATAATTAACCTACTACTGGGGGGATCTGAGCCCAAGGAATTAGGCCCTGCTTCATGACATTCTAAAATCCAACTGTTCAATGGTGTTTATGGGAGGACATTGACAAGTGTTATTGGAAATATAGTTCCTGATGTCTGGTTGCTTAATATATATCTAGGAATATAAAGTACATTCTCTAGTAGTAGTCCTTAATTTGAGACACTGATGTACCCATATATACATATATACATATATATATAATTGTTGTTATTATTATTGGCATTATTATTTTTAGAATGGGTTAAAAGCTATGGATCCTCTTCCCAGAGAGTGCAAATACTGACGTATGTACTATGCTTATAACTACAGGAAGCTTTCAAAACCCTAAAGTAGATCAACAAGCCACAAATAACTATACAACAAGAGATGAAATATGTTGGATGAAGAAGGCAGAGATAATATGTCATTCTCAAATATCCCTGATAAGATTCATCTGGGGGCTATGGTGACTAGAAAGTAGACAATAACTCATCCTGACAAGATATTCTTTAAATTGTGAAATACTGGTCTTTTAAAAGCTGCTAAAAAGTAACAAAATTGCCTTGAGTTTCACGTCTTTTTAAAATTCTGCTGACATGCCAAAGGAAGTTCCAAAAACAATGAAATTACAAATCTTTGGGTATAAAGATGAGACTAAGACACACATATATAATCTAGAAACAGAAAAAGAATACCAAAATAATCTCAGTCTCTTCCTTCCCCTTTCCATCTCTCTTTCTCTCTGTCCACCACCCAGTATTATAATTTCTAATATGTTTTGTCATAAAGCATATTGGTATAGTCACTATTTACATAGGATATGAAATAACTTGAACATATAAAATGTTTGAAAGTAAATTAATGAATCTAAAGTCTTTCAATAGGTCATTTGTTTAGAAAATAAATAAGGATCATTATTATATTTCCATCTCTTCCATTACTACCAGCCTCCAGAAAAACCAAGGAATGAGAGTCAGGTGTCCTTACAAAAAGGACAAAAGTTTTGCTGTTGTTGACAGTCTTCATAAATCAATTAATTCATCATTTCAAATTAAAAATCATGGATGCTGTATCTCATGTAACTTTATTATTAAGTAGTCAGCCTTTCTCTTCATGTAATAGAAACCAAATATGATGATTCACCCAGGACAAAAATCTATGGAACTTAAAATTTTGTCTTCCTTTGATAGTATAATAACAGAAATAGCAGTTCTTTTTTACAAAGCAAAAAATATTATGTGAATATTTAAGTAAAGGCCATGTGTCCAACATAACATAGCTCTAGTTCCAGAGGAACAATTAAGAGCCAGTAGGAAAAGGGCAAATGTGGGACTTTATGCATCAGCTCAGCTCATCTGTAATCAAAATTAACTTCAGAAATTGTCTCTGATTCCCCAGGGAAAACTAAACAAGGTCTTAGCACTTTCTAATCCTTATGCAGAGCACTCATCTTGGCTTTGCTTGGGATCATCTGCTCTTTAGTGTATTTTTGTTACTATTTAGCTTTACCAATTCTTGAGGAAAA